TACCATCTGACGTTACTTTCATTATGGCTGTGTTTTATTACGTGGCATTGCAGCACAATACAATGCCAACGGTGGTAATATCTTAGACGTTCGAGATTTCCTTGAGTTGAAACTTGAAAACCTTTTTCATCACGACTGAAACGAAAACTGGAGTCGAACAAAAATCTTGGCACGCGCAATTTCCTGGATACCAAAGCCGCCGTGCGCGCCTGCCACTCCACAAGCCAAAGACTAAGACCTGGCCTCAGCTATTTCAGATTACAAACCAGATGTCACGGACAAACCTAGCCAACTGTCAGCCCAGGTGCCCACGGCGCTCCGGGGCTGCGTCGGCGCGCGCCTGCGGGGCTCCGAGCGCGCATCTGGCGTCTCGTCGGGCGCCAAGACTGGCGCCGGCGCCGCGCTGCAGGGCGCGTGACGCCTCGCCGGCCGGCGGACGGGGGCCAGCTGCTGCCAGCGGGTCGTGTTGCGCCGTCAGCCGGCGGGCTGCGGCCGCGCCAGCGTGCGATGACCCGAGCGGCGCCGCTCACTGACCCCCGGCCGCACCGGCACACGGCTACCCTCACAAACCGATGGCAATAGCCCACACTCTCCGTGGCAGGTCTGCCCCGCGCCTCCGAAGCGGCATCACGCAGTATCGTGCCCAGCCCTCCGGTCACCGCACCGCAAGCAGTTTTCGCGTGGGGAGGCTCCAGCGACGGCCGCGTGACGTGACGTCACGTCCGCCATCATCAGCGATCAGCGGCGGCCAACCCACCGTGCTCCGTCAGCCACGCCGGGAGTCCTCGCGCGGCGCGCTCGATGACCTCGGACCTCGCCGGCCCGGCGCGGCGCCGCGGGCACCCCGCCGCCAGGAGACCCGGCCGGACCGGACGCCGCCGCCGCGCGGTCCGGCCCGGCCCGGCGACAAACATCCGGAGCAGCGGCGGCGGCGCCCCGGGACACCGTTCACGTTGGCACGGGCGGCCGGCGCGCGCCATAAATAACGCGCAACAAGCTCCACAGGGCCGCAGGTTGCCATTGTAAATTAATCACCACTGATCTAAGAAGGGGCTTCCAGATTTGTGAGCTCTGAGCTTAAGGTTCACGAGGGCTATTCGAAAGAGGTGAGCTGCAGATTTACACAGCTGCAGATTTATGCGTTGATCTGCAGCCATCATCACAGGTTAAGTCGGCCAGCGCCGCCGGGGTCACGGGACAGGATGCAAAAGGCTGACCGCATCCATCGAGAGTGGCTGCCGTCAGTCAGCGTGCCGAGACGGGAGCTTCCTGCTCCCTGCGAGGGACGGCGGCTCCCACATCCGCACCGATACCCAGCCCACCGGCCGCGAGCGGTCAGAGCGACGAACGGCCGTCGGCTGTCGACCTCTCGTGGCGACGGATGGGCGCGGCAGACACCGCCGCCGGGACGGGAACGGGAACGGGGACGGGGATGGGGATGGGGATGGGGACGGGGATGGAGACGGGGACGGGGACGGGGACGGGGACGGGGATGGGGATGGGGATGGGGATGGGGATGGGGATGGGGACGAGGACAGGGATGGGGATAGGAATGGGAATGGGGGCGGAGATGGAGATGGAGATGGAGATGGAGATGGAGATGGAGATGGAGATGGAGATGGAGATGGAGATGGAGATGGAGACGGGGCGAGACAGGACAGGACAGGACAGGACGCGGCGGGGGCCCAACCGTCGGCCGGCCACGGCGCCCATCGACCCTGACCCGCGTCGGATCGGCGGCACGTCATGAGCGTCCGACGCCAATCGACCGACGCACGGGCGGCGTTTCTTCGACGGCGTCACGGCGCCGGCGCCACCCTCCCCGGGGGCCGGCAGCCGGAGCAGCGTCACACGTGGCGCTAACATAATCCCAGCCGACTGGGCGGCGCCGCTCGATAGCAGGAGTCTGCCCGCCGCCGCCGGCGCCGCCGCCAGGCCCGCGTCGCCACCGGCAGCCGTCGGCCGGCGCGCCCTTGCCCCCACCGTCGCCATGCGTCGCGCGTCGGTCGCACACAATAGGCCAGAGAGGGGCGGCCGGGGAACGGGGTGCCGCTGCCGCTGCCGTCGCCACGCCGCCGCCGCCGCCGCCGCCGCCGGGAGGGCGAGATCGATACCGGCATTCTGGGACGGCGGCGGCGACGGCGGCGTCGCGGCCGATGACGCCGGATGCGGCGCCGCTCCGGCGCGCCGGTCACGTGAGCCGCCGCGCTATGCGTAACGAACGTCACGTGACAGACGGTGTAACGACGCCCCGGGTCAGCGGAGGGCACGGCCGCCCACGTGACGTCTCAGGCAATCGACAATCGCGTCTGTCGCGGTGAGAAGCTGTTTGGAATATTGGGAGGGCTCCTAGACTGAATATCGGAGGGCCGCATGGCTGCTTGCCATGATTCGTCCACCCAAAAAGACGTGTATTTCAAATAGGAAACATGACCTCAAACCCGAGAAGTTAGTCATGTTAAAATTGTTCATGGTCAGGCGCTGCGTCCCGCAAACTCCCTTGATTGTCCAGCAAGCGTATTGCAGCAGTGCTGAGCTGCCGACGTGTTCAGGGCCGGTGGGCCTCGTGCCGCCGACTCTCAACGGAGGCGCCACCGCGCGGGATCACCCAGGAAATGTGCCGACACCACACAGCGACAGCCAGGCTGCGTCGCATCGCCGCCGTCCTTCCACACGTCGCCGGCGGTGTCGTTATCACCCTGGCGTCATGCCGAGCGGCGCCAGTCCATTAGCCATCGGCTTATCAGAAGGCTGTAGGGCGGGGAGGACGGCGAGTAGCAGTCAGTCGTTTGTCCGGCGACAACAGTCGTGCATCAACTGGGCGCACGGACATCCGGCAGCTGCTAGCCATGGCGACGGGACCCCGCCGATCCCACGGACGCTGGAGTGCTAGCCATGGCGACGGGACCCCGCCGATCCCACGGACGCTGGAGCGAAATCTGGCGGGACGCCGAGGTGAGCTAAACTCGGTTAGTGCACCAGCCGGGGGCAGCATACTCGGCCACCGCTGGCCGCTCCACCAGAGGACATCGAGCGATCACCGAGCACACGGGATCATGTCACATCCCCACCCCCTCCCTCCGTTGCTGCCGTTGGCGTGTGCAGCGAGCAGCGACGGAGCCGTCCGCCGGCTGGGCGGGCGACGCTGCGGCCGGCCGTCGAGCCGGACCGGCCCCAAGGCCACTCACCAGGTGCGAGGCAGTCTGGCTATGCACGCGCCGCCCGGCCGCTCCCAGCGGCCCACTGGCGCATCGCATTCAACGGCGGCGCGCGCCCACCACCGGCACCACACAGCACGCTCCCCGCCGGCACCGCGCACACGGCAGCCACTCCCGTTCGCGACCGCCTCTCCGGGACCGCCAACACCGCTGGCCGCACGTCCGGCCGCGGCCGCGCTCCGCCCGACCGGCCGCCACTCGCGCGGCCCGACCGGCGCCGGCCGGCCCGTTCCGCCGCGCCACTCGTCTGTCGGCCGCCCGCCCGTCCGTCGGGGTCGTCGCTCGGTCGTCGGCGCCGGCGGCTGCGCGCGCGCGCACAGCGGCAGGTGCGGCGGGCGGCGCGGCGTGCGCGGCACTGCCGCCGCCCGGCCGCTGCCGCGGCCAGCCGCCGCCGCTCTCACGCACAGGCTGGCATCGACCCGTGGCCGGCCGGGTGGGCCGGCGCACCGGCGCACCCATGGCACGACATACCGGTCGATTTCACGCGACCGCGCGCCCGCGCGCCGGCGGCTTGGGCCCGGCCACGCGACCCGCCGCAATCGCCGACCACGAGCCGGCCGCGGAAGACCGAGCACCGACGGGCGTCGCGCGGGACAGCCAGCTCCACACCAGCGTCGGACGTCCATCCGCCGCCCGGTGAAGCTCAACCGGAGCCGGCGCTCCGGCGCGGCCGCAGGGGAAATCCGGCCCGTTTCGGGAGCGGCCGCGGTCGTCGTCCAGCCGTCGAGCGTCAGGCGCGGGCGGCGGCGGCGGCGGCGGCGGCGGCGGCGGCGGCGGCGGCGGCGGCGGCGGCGGCGGCGGCGGACGTGCCGGGCGTGCCCGGCGAGCACGGCCGGACGACGAGCGACAACAGGCCGGCCGCGGCGACAGCGGGCGGCCGCGGCGCCGCCGGTCACGAGCGCCATTGTCGGCCGCCTGGCGACGCCGCTCAATGGGGCGCCGGTGCTGACGTGACCGGTGGCGCGGCGCGCCTCGGTGACGGGCGCGGCGCACGGCGCCCCGAGCGCGTGATCGCCCGTCACCGACCTGCTGACGCGTGAGCGTCACGCCGCCCGCACGCTGTCCGCTGGCGGCACTGGACCGCTAAACGGCACGGCGCTTTATCAGATTGATGCCCGTGTTGTGTCGTTCGTTTGTCACTGGTACCTGGACAGGGGTGTCGCGCGTGTCCGCGCAGGCGCGACAGTACCGGAGCGGGACGGTGTTTACCTGGCCGCTCGTCGAAGGCTCGCACCACAGCCCCAGACGCAATATCAATTAGTGGGGAGCGTACCGTCATTTATTCATGCGTAATCACGATAAGGTAGCATATTTATGATAAAGTCTCTGATCATCTATGCGCATTACCAGTATTAGAACACCGTCGAAGAATGCTGTCAACAGCCAACGGGACAATAGGGTGCGATTAAAGGTCCATAACGCTACCTTCCGTACATGACGAACAGCAAGTTTTCGTTTTCACGAGCATCCCCGAAAACTGAATGTACGGCATCGCGACACGCACCGTCTATCAGGCACCTTGACCGATACTACGTGCCAATGAACCGGAGCCTTTCCAAAGCGATTGACATCGCACGTCAGCAGAGGCTGTGGCGTACCCGTCCACACAACTCCCCAGCCTGTGAACGCAACGCCACAGTCGGACGCCGCGCAGGGAGTCGCGTGCAGTGCCCAGGGGAGCGGACAGCGCTGCGTGACAGTCAGCCGGCCGACGCACGACCGCGCCGCGCCGTGCCGTGCCGTGCCGGGGCGGCGCGTGTAGCGCGCGGTCACCGCTCTCACCTGATCGATCCGCTGCTGAATGCTGCGAGCGTCGGCTGACGAACAGTCGTCAGGGTCGAACGCCGGCATGCCGCACACTGTCTGCAACACACGGACGGCGAGGCGTCACGACCAGGGCCGCACACGCCGACCAGCGCCAACGCACCGGCGCGCGCTGGCCGAGCCGGTCCTCCGCCGAGCACACACAGCCGCGAGCCGCCGCACCGGCCACGCGAGGCAAAGGTAGCCGCGCATTCACTATCCATGAGTCCGCTGTCCATGACGTGACAGAGGTGCTCAAAGGCAGGAGCATATAGCACAGGTTCAATGGCACAACCAACAAGCACGCGTGAATAGAGATCTCTGAATCCTCCACACCGCGCTATAATTGTACATACGGATGTCTGTGTGTATGACCACACAACAGCTGAGCCCTTCGCCTGTTTTTTCGCAGGATATTCAAGCACATGGTGAGCGATCACTTTCCTCTTGAGAAAAGCACCACGACCCTGGTTTTCGTACAGCGTCGAGCCTAGCGAATACATATGACCCGATGGCATTTGTACACATCGGAAAAGTACCTTAAAGCGCCAGTCGGACCTGGGAGTCCCACGGTGGACGCGGTGTTATGTGACAGGATACAGCGCAATCACCTGCGGCAACCGCAGCCAATCTAACCCTTCCATGTCGACACATCGTGGTCTCGAAACAGGTCCACATAAGAAAACTCAGGGAGGGGCAAAACCACGTACATCAACACGGCCCTCATATGTGCGCTGAGAAGACGAACATCCCAGAAGAGCAAAAAGCAGCGGGGCTGAGACCCCGAGAGCCCGACGGCGGTCGCTCCGGCCGCTCCCGCCGCCTGCCAGCTACAGTGACCCGGTCACGCCCGAAGTTACCCCCGGGGAGATTTCCGCTCGGGGTCCGGTCACTGCCGGCTTCGGTGATACCGGAGACCCGATCACGTCTGGAGTGACCCCAGAGGGACCCGATCACGTCCGGAGTCGCCGCAGAGGGACTCCCCGCTCGGGGCCCGGCCACGTCTGGAGTCACCTCGGAGGGACTCCCCGCTCGGGGCCCGGTCACGTCCGGAGTGACCCCGGAGGGGCCCGGTCACGTCTGGAGTCACCACGGAGGGACTCCCCGCTCGGGGCCCGGTCACATCTGAAGTCACCCTGGAGGGACCCGATCACGTCTGGAGTGACCCCAGAGGGACTCCCCGCTCGGGGCCCGGCCACTGCCGGCTCCGCCCGGCGGTCGGGCCGGCCGTCTCCGTCCCGAGGCGGCCGCCACCGCGGCGGGTCACGCTCCGGCGAGCGCCAACAAAACGGCCAGCCACGCGTGCGGCCGCCGCGCCGGCGCTGCGTGTGCGGCCGTGGGTGTGGGTCGGTCGGTCGGCCGGGCCAGCGCGCGCCCCGCTGGGTGTGCGACGCGCTTGCATGCCACTGATTGTGGTGTACGCCTGAGTGGCAACCCGTGGTATTTGGTGCGCACGGGCGCAATCATAAATACATGCTCCGATGAATGCGTCAATGCGAATCTGGCGTGCGCTCTGCATAGCATGATGATGTGCGCGACGACGCAAACGTTTTCCGACTCCATCATCTTCCGCAGCAGATTATCTGCGCACGGGGCCCCACAAAGGCTGAGCCCAGCCAGTGTCCATTACCATACGAGGTAAAGCACAGAAGGCTATTTCCAGAAGCAACCAGCGCGTAGAGATGAACAATACAAACCAGCATCAACATCACAGATTTCACACAGCGATTTTCGGCAGAGCCAGCAGAATGTTGCTTATTGACCCCCATTCGCACTTTGCGCGCACAACACTGCGATTTGCACGGTGAAGCTATGAATGGCGTGTCCAGCGCAGCCTACACAGCAACGCGACCTGCACGGCCCGGCAGGCCACACCCGAGAGCGGGCCGATCGGCGCCGGCAGGCCGTCCGAGCCGAGCGTGACAAGCGGCTGCAGATGGTCGCCCTCTCTGGATCAAACGACCTCCGACCGCGCCAATACGTCCAAATCTCACAGAGCCGTCCTGGGGTCGCGAAAGGATTGCTGAAGTGCAGTATTGTCTGCATTCCAGGCCCCCAGCGGGTTGGAAATACAGCCACATAACTGTAGAGCAGCGCCGCTGCACCGTGAAAAGCTGCTGACCAACAGCGTCAATCCCATCCACAATGTGAAATGATCGTCCCTGAACTGAGCGCAGTACGGAAGACGACGCTGGCCACATCCCACTTAGTTGGCCATACCTCAAGCGGCCTACGAAAGTCGCCTGTTCCGTCGCAGCACTCGCGTGGCATTACTGCCCATCCATTCCGGACAGCAGGCCACAGGGTCATTAACGGAAACATCGGCCGCACGCCAGCAGCCGGGCCCGAGTGTCGGCCGTCGCCCGGCGGAGACCGGGTGGCGGGGCCGCGTCCGACCGGCGGCCGACCGGGAGGCGCGCGCCGCCCACTGGACGGGGTCCGTGCCCTCCGCGGCGCCCCGACCGACACCCCACGTCCGGCAGGGGGCCCCGGGGCCGGACGTCCTCACCGGAAGTGGAGTACCGGGCCGACGGTGGCGCTACGGCCGCAACGGCTGCAGACAGCGTGACACAACGCGTGCGGGACAGGTCCGAGCGGTTTGCATTGCCCTGATCTCATCCCAGTAAGCACTCAGGAACAAATCGTGGGATGTCGGTTTTCTTGGAACCCGCTGGAAGCCTAGCCCGCCCTGCACTGGAAGCCAACGGACCAGCATTCCATTAAGCTCGTTTAAGCTAAAACTCGGGAAATAGGGCAGCAACTGGCTGTTCATCGTTGTGATTTCAATGGCAATCTGCCGCACGCCGCTGGTCGCATTAAGCAAATCGCATTCTGGTGCATACAGCTAATAACTTCACAGAAATACTGGGAGCTTTTAAACAGTGTTCAACGAAATCGCTGCGCAGCATAAACAGAGCGCGAACGAGTCACTTCTAACTGCTGCAGCCCTTACCATCAGCCAAAGAGCCGATAAGAATGTCCACCGGAGTCGACGCTGCGGTCACCTTGCACCGTCCGCCGGGGCCACCACCCAGACCGGCTGCCCAGCAGCCAGCAGCCGGCACCACCATCCGCAACGGAGCCTCCGCCGGCTCCGCGGACGCAGCGAGACGCCACCGGCCGGCGTCGACGCCTCCCCGACCAGCCGCCGCCGCCGCGCCAGACAGCCGGCCGGCCGACAGGTCACTGGCTCGGCCGCGCCTCACCGCCACGCCACATGCCCAGCCGCCGCTCCGCCGCCGCCGCCGCCGGCGGGCCTCACACGCGCACCTTCACCGCCGGCGTCGGCCCCGACGCGACACACTGCCCTGGCCACACGCGATTTACATACGGCCGCGGCCGCGCGCTCGTCTTCGGCCGACACCCGAGAGCAAGGGTACGCAGTGTTTTGGTGCCGCGTCGTACATTCATACAAGTGTCGAGACGCCGCGGTGCAGTACAGAGCCCGGCGGGCCCCGGCGGACGCCGCCGCAGCTTCGGCGGCAGCCGAAGCTCCTGCTGCTATATTCCAGCAACAACGCGCGCACCTTGCCCGGTGACACCTGAGGAATCTCCAGCATGACCTTTGCCCCTAATGGAACGATCACACGGACGCGTCCAATCTGCCAGTTTCAGAGCAGTCTCATACTGACCCATCGCTCTCGACATCCATTCGCAGCAAATGCATCTCACAGCGGTCAACCTAGAAACGGCGCAGCTCGTCCATAATCAAGCGGCGCCAGTTGACACCCGTCCCCCCCCCCCTGCCCGCGGAGCATCGCAGTCCCCGCGCGCTGCATCGCGCCGAGTCGTGCCGGCGCCCGGGCCCGGCCGCCCACCTGTCGGCGGCGGCAGGTGCGCCGAGTTGGCTGAATCCAGCGCCGCGGCGCTATTCACTGGACGTGGACGCTAGCGGGCGGCGCGGCCCGCTGCTGGAGCCGGGCGCCGGCCCCGCCCGGCCGCGGCGCCGCCACGCTGCGCCGCCGAGCACCGGGCCGCCGCCGCCGGGCCGGCCGACACCGGCGCGGCGCACCTGGACCGGCCGCCGAGCCAGCCGCGCCCCACTCCACCCGACGGCGCCGGGCACAGCCGAATGGGGCCGATGTAGGGCAACTGGGCGGCGGCGCCGCACGCTGCCGTCCACCGGTCAGCGGGGGGTTTAAAAGGTGCCGGGCTCGCGAGCGGCCGTCCCCACCCCGGAAGTGGTCCGTTTCCTGATGTCGGAGGGGAATGACAAGCCCTCCTTTGGCCAGGGGTGGCCACCAGCCAGGGGTGGCCACCAGCCAGTGGAGGCCACCAACCAACGGTGGCCACCAGCCACGAGCACAGCTAAGCGAAAGCTGGATGTCACCCGCCACCGCACCAGTCCATCCGGTGACACGAAGCCCCACGAGAACGGCTCCCGTTTGCCCACAAATCGCACGCCATGGAGCTACGCCGTCTGCGTTGTTCACCAACATCCGGTCGTGTTCAGGGGGCGTGACCGGGCCACGGAAGAGCGCGTCGACGGCTGGGGCAAGCCAGCACCAGCTGCTGAAGCGAGCTGAACGCTCCGAACCTTGCGTCAAGCATCGCTGCCCGCACGACCTCGAGGGCCGGAGCGGGGGAAACGAGATACTCGGCTGATTACAGGCACAGACAGGCAACAATCAGACAGCTTTGGAACGCGCGCTTTTTCGCACCCCAGCCGCCGACTGAAGCAATGAATGGAATCTTACCAGGTGAACGATCTCTGACCATGGTCCGCACGCCTTTTCCACGCGCATCCTGTGCGAACTTTGCCCAATCACAGACTCTGCCATGGAAGCTCGCGGTACGGCGTTCAACTTCGCATAATATACTGACCTCGCGGATCACACGTAATACAAAACACATATACGGCCACATCGAACAATATTCTTGACATATTAAGTTCACCTACGACACGTGTACCCAAATATGTCTTTTGGCTACACATGCAAGCGGTGCAGTTGTGACTGTCGCGTGACGGACCTCGCAATGTTGTAGCACTTCTAACCATACCTGGATATGCAGCCGTGACCTGCATTCAACCATCGCTAGCAAACGAACACAAATAACGTCAAGAGTGTCACGCAAGGATATTACAGGAACGCACGAGGTAACTGTGTCCTCTCCTCGTCCGACAAAGAGACACCACCAACGAGACAACCTCACGACGCACTTTTAAAACAATCACTGGTTGTCACGGCAAGCCAAAGTTCAGTTTTTTTTTTCAAATTTCATTTCCGCTCGCCCCCACCAGGCCGATTTCCGACAGCACCAATGCCCCGAACATAAAATCTGAGCGCAACTGTGAAACGACGTCTAGGTGCATGTCGCCGCTCCATTCAGCGTAGCACGCAATCCCCCACTATTCAGCCACTAGCAGTGACAGTAGCGAGAACAGTTAGCTGAAATAAAGGCGAAATGTCCTCGGCTGAAGGCGCCAGTTGCAAACGAAGGCGTTCCGTGAGGTGGCTTAATGCTCGGTCAGTGAGTCGAGCACCGGCCGTACACGTCAGCCCGCGCCACGACGCCGTGTCACGAACCGTGTGCGTTCGCACCCTCCCAGATGGCATACCACGCTGCAAAGGCGCCGAACGTATCGCCAAGCAGTGCTTCGCAATGTTGTGCAGGTTTAGTTATCAGGCACTTATTAACACAGCACGCCGCTGTTTGCATGCCAGTCGCATATGGCAGTCAGCTGGCGCGGCCCGGCCACGGGTGTAGCGCCGGGCCTGGCTGCGCTCTGATCCCGGCACGGACAGGCGCCGTCCTCGGCCACGGGTGTAGCGCCGGCCCTGGCTGCGCTCTGATCCCGGCACGGACAGGCGCCGTCCTCGGCCGCGGGCGGGCCCCACTCACAGCGTGCAGGCAGGGTTAGCAGCGCCACCAAACGCCGTCACTGTACGGATGACTCAGCCATTCAGGGATGCCTCTGCGCGCCGCCCGGCACCAGCGCCCATCGCCTGTCACTGCCGGCACCTCGACGGCCTGGCTGCGGCTGCCGTCCCCGGGCGGCCGTTCCACGTCAGCGGGGCCGGATGCCTCGCTCCAGCTGGCCGGCGAGGTCAGGCCGGCCACCGCCACCGACGCGGCCCGGTCACACGCCACCACCACCACCGCCACCGACGCGGCCCGGCCACACGCCACCACCACCACCACCACCGACGCGGCCCGGCCACACGCCACCACCACCACCGCCACCGACGCGGCCCGGCCCCACGCCACCCACCCACCACCCGCCACCGACGCGGCCCGGCCACACGCCACCACCACCACCACCTCTGACGGCGCCGCCACACGATATCACCACCACCGCCACCCGCCCGGCCCGGCCAACACGCCACCACCGACATCACCACCTCCGCACCGACGCGGCCCGGCCACACGCCACCACCACCACCGCCACCGACGCGGCCCGGCCACACGACATCACCACCACCGCCACTGATGGTGCCGCCACACGACATCACCACCACCGCCACCGACCCGGCCCGGCCACACGCCACCACCACCGACATCACCACCTCCGCCACCGACGCGGCCCGGCCACACGCCACCACCACCACCACCACCGTCACCGACGGCGCCGTCACGAGCGCCCCCTTTACCGGGTACATCAACACTGCATACAACCAGACGGTGGCGACGGGCACGCAGTCCTATGGCCAGTGACATTGGCACTGCCATCAAAGTTTGCATTACCTTACAAACAACAGTGGAACAAACCTGCTTGTCAAGTTTGTGTTAATCATATGTTTAGCCTTCACTAGTGTTGCTGGGCTTGGCCTGGCCAGCCCAGCCCTATCTACCTATGTTAACTTAGGTTATATAGATAACATCTAACCTACCCTCTGTGGACTGTAGAGAACACTTTAAGCAGCCTGTTTCCTTACAGAGATTACGAGTCATACATCTTATTATGTCAACCGTTTTAGATTAAATGGATTGTATGTTTTTCACAAGAATGACAGTTCCAAAAACAAGTAGATCAAGATAGAACGAGTTTAATAACATTGATATTTGTTAAAAAATAGCTTCATTCCATTATCCTATCTCGAAATTGCTGACACAACCTCCTCATTCATAACAACTACCATTTAAACATGCTCTGCATTACTGTCATATAAATACAATCTATTGTTATAGCATTCAATTGGGTGAATCAAACCAAGTCATTTCCAATTAAACTGATACAAAGTTAGGCCCCTTCAAGTGTAGCACTGGGCAAAAACCTTAATTAATAAGCAGTGAAAAACCTATAACAGTACCCTGAATTTCTTTCACCTGACATAAATACATGGGATTGCATTCCATTCCTGGAGGGAAACCTGCACAATCCCTTTCACCAGTAATGAATAATCACAAGGCAAGCATATTGCAGAGATTCATCTCAAGCACGTACACTCAAGAGGTGGTACTGGTGGGGGAGGTGCTACCTGTGACAGGTCATGCCGGTACTCCTCTGCTGTGACCTCAAGAGCTCACCCCAACCTGTCAAATCAAAACTGCTCTCACTGATAGTTAGAGTGGAAATATGGCTAAATTCATTCCAGGAGCTTGTAACAGCCTTACCTTGTTTTAGTCGTGAGGTGCTGTCAATTCTCTTAGCACAAGCTTTCACTAGCTTTTTACAGATCAGTCAACAGCAGTGTACTTACTTCTGACCAGAAGCTTGACCATGCCATTCTACCAGCTACCTCCCTACAAGCCCTACAGATGTGCCATCAATGGTGCTCAGGTCCATGGCAGTGATTGGCTCTGGGAGCATATGACAGAGACATATCAGCTCAGGGAGGCTCAACACATAGTTTTGTCAAGGTGTTCCTGCCCCACAAGCTGTTGGAGGCCATGGCAGAGTGGAGTGCAGATATCAAGGACTGGAGCCTGACCCCAAAAAATGTCACCAGATTATATTTAGCAAGGCACCCACTTCAGTGCTATGTGGACACCTTCTCCACAAGCTGCATAGCATGATGCTTGTGATAAACTTGATAAGCATTTGCTTGCCTGGCCACCCACAAAGTGGTTGTGCAGGGTTCTTGTCAGACTGAGTGATCACCTGGCATTTTCCACATCCATATGAGAAGAGCCCCTTCTCACTAGTTTTGTTGCTAGCATTTACTTATTTGAACACAGCTCCACTGAGCTCTCTACAAATGACATCAAGTTGTGCAGTCATATTTGCATGCCCTGTGGCAGATACATGTTGTTGAAAGATATTGATACCTTGTCATGACAATTTGAGTGCTGGATTCTCCTGATCAAAATACCAAATAGAAAAACTGTGCACCTTAGTCTGCAAAAACCTGCCAAAAAATCTACTTCCTAAGTTAGAACCCCATGTTGTTCAGACTGAAAATAACCTAGCACTAGTGATGGACAGCAGATTGAAGTTCTATAACCACACAACAGGTACAGTTGCCAAGGTGCTCCAGATGTTGGTGTTCTCCTAGCCATTTGAAAATACTGACTGCTTCACTCTGCCACTGGATCAAAACACCTTAGTCTCAAGCTGTTGTCAGCACATCAAAACCTGATCTGTGACCATTCAGCAAGATGGAAAAGAAATACCTGGAGGGAATGCAGATGCAGGCTACATGAATGCTAGCATACTGAGGCATTTGCAATATCTGGAGAGAATCCTGGTGCTAAAGCTTTCCTTCCTCCACTTTAGGTGCTGCAAGGATAGCTAAGTGATTGTGTTTTGCATCCTCAGTGGTGGTGCATTATTTCATGCTGCCAAATTATTGTTTCCTGCTGTATCTTATGTCACCACTGGCCACCAGTTACCAGCAGTTTGTGTAAACTGCCAGTGCAGACCCTCAGATGCCAAAAAAAGTAAAATCCCTCACCATCTGGCCTGGTGGTGGCCTATTTAGTCATATCACAGATCTGCAACAGTCTAGAGTCTGAAATGGTGGAAGCAGTGTTGTTTTGTAAAGGAGAGGACACAACCCTGTAGCTTTGTGATCATCATTGCTCACATGTATTATAACACAGCACCACCATGCCTACACATTTAAGTCCTAATAATAGACAAGAGATTCAACTCTTGGCTGCCTCTGTAGTTGAGAAAGTATGTAATTTTTGTGTTCCCCTTCCACACCAAGTGACATGGCAGACACATGAACTGCCAATGATGAAAATGTGCATCTATGCTCCCCACATACCTAAAAATCATACAATCCCTTGATATCAGTCACATTTACAAAAACTTGTGCATCATTTGGAAACAATAATGCTGCCACAGACCTCACACTCATTAGGAGCTACCAGGTAATTCATTTTAATGTATAGGTTGAGCTCTCTTTAACCTCCATCAAAATCAGGAGTATTGCATCGTTGTGTAACGATTATCATGCTTACACACGTCCATAACAGGTGTCTGCCTCGCCAGTGTTATGACTGGACATTGGATACCCCTCTCCAAGTCAAACAACATAGATACTATGCCCTCTTGCATTTGTGCCGCTGACTGCCAATATTTTATGACATAGCCATACACACGCTTAACAATCGAGCTTGCCGCATCCACCTACTTCGATGAATGGTCATGGGATTGGTCAGCAATTAAGGGCGAGCTAATTAGGTACCGTACCACGTCAACGGCAAGATCAAGAGACCAGATCACTTACCTCCCAAATTCAAGACGATTCATAGAACGGGGTTGAAATCAATTCATATACGCATTAACTCTTCAGCCCACAACTCCCAACCACAGCAGCCTACACATAACACGACCACTCGCCAACACCCATCACCCCCTCCACAACCACAATTGAACAGGAATAGTTCTAATCTACTGAACCGAATTAAGTGTGCGGCGAATGCGGCGCATCTCGGATCATGGCTGCCACATTTTGTTCAATATGTATTGAAAAGGAACATAGCCAGAAAAAATGACAGATATTGCAGTAAATAATTTTTTTAAAAGTTCGGCTTTAGATTCACTACGAACATCTTTTAAATGACTTGAAGCTCATACATTTATGAACGTAACAGCATGGTATGATTAGTTACTAAGGCTTTATATACCTGCCACTAGGTGACACTACACTGCAAAACCGTGAACAGGAATGGCAAAACTTGAACGATAGCGACAAGCAGGGGCGTAGCTTCACCAAATGGGTTGGTGGGGAGGGGGAAGTGGGCTGAACGGTGGAAAAGGAGCAAAACTTTCCCAAATATTCCAACAAACGGGTTTCTCCCCAAATTTCTCCCACTTCTTTCCCAAAGTTGGGGGGTGGGCGGGGATGAAACCCAACAATTGAATAGGAAACTACACCCCTAACCTCAAGACGAAATAAATCTCATTGAAATGAGCATCGGCTGCCCCACATGTTGGCAGGGATTAGTTTCTCTGAGTCATTACATCATTGATCCTAGTATTTTTGATATTACACGAAAATTGACACGCCCAAAAGTACTCCACACCACCTCAGCTAAGAACCCATCGAATGAGGCTTTCAAAAGCGAGCATGGCATTTTGTGAAGTCTGGTCTGTCCAATATTACCTGTTCTTTTTCCCAACCTTTCATATGCATTCTTCAAAGCATTTAAAATGTGGTGCTGGGAATAGCTGTTAGCTGAATAGCTGGGAAATTAGCTGTTTCACGGTGGTATGTCGCTGTCGGAAGAGGAGTTCCTGACAAGGCACAACTCGGAGGTGACGAGAGGACACCAATGGAAGCTCAGAAAACCTCGAGCGAAGACTCTCGTCCGTCGTAACTCATTCAACACGCGGGTTGTCAACAACTGGAACGCTCTTCCACACCCGGTCGTGTCGTCGACCTCAGTTGAACAGCTCAAGTCTAGGTTTGATATGCACTGGGCTGACATCATATGCGGCGTCCCACACCGGATCTTCCCATAATATGAGACTGTTTGGTTACCGGACCGGGAGCCTGACGAGACTGGGCCCTACAGGCCTAGTGGCCTTCTATCATTCCCGACCACCATAAGATAAGGTGTGGTAAGGTAAGGGAATGTTTCTGGCACTGGTATACAATGATTCATGATGAGCTTCGCCATTTTAAGAAATGTTTGTAAACTGTCCCGTGCTTAAGAAATAGGATTATGATGGCACAGGCAAAGACTAAGCTTTATTGCAGCGATATATAGCATTGATGTGTCGAATGCTGATGGTAGGTAACGGTGTTGACAATGTTGGTGTCTCCTATGGATGCAGTTGCCAATTTGAAAAGATACGAATTGAGGTAAAAATACAATGACTTGAATACGTCTTATATCCGTTTATGATGATTAGCAATCCATGCTAAACAAAGTTATCAAAGCGTGGTTGAGTGCATTCTTGCTGTCTTTTAGTTCGTGTCAGTGACCGGTGTTTTGTCCTTGGAGAATAACTGAAGGTTGACGGGAGGTCGGACAACTGCCTGCCAAATTTTCTGTGGGGTCGCGTCAGAGAGGATAATTGAGGTCTGGGTGGCGGGGGACGGGCTTCTCATTATTAAATTTAGACGGCTCTAGATACCGGTCGTTATAGGTTGTACTTGGTGCTGGCAAATTTATCAGCGCGTATCTCATAAATATACTCAACAATGGGGAAGACGCACAAGATTGTCATGATTCGCCATGGAGAGAGCGAATGGAATCAGCAAAACAAGTTTTGCGGATGGTACGACGCTCATTTAAGCGCTAAAGGTAGGAAATCAATCAGCCGGATTGCGAACCATCGACACCTAGAGGATGTTTGGCAGTGATGCTTAGCTGGTGTTAATTTGTGGTTTATCGTGCTTTTTCCTGACCTGGTACTGTTCATGGCCTTGCCTGGTGCCAGCTTTTTGCTGGTTGTTGAGCAGTAGGCCAGACAATAAATGCTTTTCACACTGAACATGTGTATAGTAACAGCACCACTGTGGTAGTAATATTATAGTATGCACTCTGTTATTGATTTGAGCTCATTGTGGAGAGAGACAATATTTCAAGGAACTCAGATTTGTCAAAGGTCATTTCAGGACAGAATGCTTACAGAACATCTTTCAAGCAAAATTTATTTGAAAATTGGTGCATTTTGCTTGGCCAGAGCCCAGTTCATGGTGTTTCATGCTCACACACCATAATCTTTAAGGTGTGCAGTGGCAGCATTCCAAAATTCATCCAGGAGGGTGCACAGGACAAGGGTGTAGATACAAAGGCATGCGACCAGCATCCTGGCCCTTAGCCAGCTTGTGCTGGCAATGTGTTCGGGCTAACCAGTTGCCCAGTGACCCCAGACCAGGACATTTGATGTGCACAACCCATTGTTCTAGCCTGAAGCTCTTAGGTGTAGGGTTGATGCTGCCCAATTTGATGCTGATTGGTCAATTTGGTGTAGTTGTGCTTTCCTACCTAACGTTAGAAAAAATCATTGCACACCATTCGTCGTGTTCAAGGCGGCACATATCGTAAATCATCTCAAAACAGGTAGAATCATGCTCCTACCTTCGAATTTCAATAACTTTGATGGCGGGCCCCCGAGCGCCGCGCACACCGCACCGCCTGGACTCCCCAGCGCCGTTTCTGCGTTGCCATTGCGTAAATACAATATTTCTGCTTACCAAGAACTCTACGAAATGTACGGGACCGAGGTAAACCATTCGTCGTGTTTAAGGCAGAACATATCGTAAATAATTTCAAAACAGATAGAATCATGCTCCTACCCTCAAATTTCAATAAATACGATAGCGAGCTCCCGAGCGCCGCACGCCCCGCACCGCACTGCCTCGACTTCCAAGCGCCGTTTCTACGTCGTTGCGAAAGCACAATATTTCTGCTTATCAAGAACCATAAAACATGTATGGAACCAAAGTAACAATAATAAAGCAACCAAAATCGTTTCTTATCGAGTTTAGGTACATTTATGAAACACGCAGGCCAGAATAGTCCAGAACATATCCTAACCTAACCTAACCTAACCTAACCTAATCTAATCTAACCTAACCTAACCTAACCTAACCTAACCTAACCTAACCTAACCTAACCTAACCTAACCTACCTAACTGAGAATAGACCAGAACCTAAGCTAAGCTAAGCTAAGCTAGCCTGACCTGACCTGACCTGACCTAACCTAACCTAACCTAACCTAACCTAACCTAACCTAACCTAACCTAACCTAACCTAACCTTACCTAACCTAACCTAACCTAACCTAACCTAACCTAACCTAGCCTAACCTCCCCACCCTATATCCCCTTCAACCCAGCATCTCATTGGCATCCATGTTCCATGCCATATATAGGTGCCATATAGTGAGCTTTATTTAGCTGCCATGTTCTCATTTCGCTTTACATTCCCCACCCAAATCCCCCTGCAACCCATGGTCCCGTTGGCGTCGAGGATCAAATTTCATGGATTCTTGCTACCTTGTCCCGGTACATTTTTATGGTTCGCAGTAAATATGGTTTATAGTTATAGTATGGTTATATAGTATAGTTTATAGTTATAGTTATGGTTTATAGTATGGTTCGCAGTTAATATGGTTTATATGGTAAATATGGTTATGGTAAATATGGTTTATGTTTAGTAAATATTTTTTATGGTTCGCAGTTAGGTTATGGTTGTCCTGCCTTAAACATGACGAATGGTTTACTTTGGTCCCGTACATTTTGTACAGTTCTTGGTACGCAGAAATATTGTATTTACGCCACGGCAACGCAGAAACGGCGCTGGGGAGTCCAGGCGGTGCGGTGCGCGCGGCGCCCGGGAGCTCGCCATCGAAGTTATTGAAATTCGAAGGTAGGAGCATGATTCTACCTGTTTTGAGATTATTTACGATACGTCATGCCTTAAACACGACGAATGGTGTACAATGATTTTTTCTAACGTTAGGTAGGAAAGTACACCCTGACCGTCAATTTTAAGCAAGGGAATGGGCAACAGCCAGCAAACTTTAAGCCAGATGTTCAAAGACAGAAAACATTGAGATCCCTGTCACATAACTAGCCAAATGCCAAATCACTGCAGTTGGTGGATTTTTATAATTATGTTAGCCACGCTGTTATCTAGAGTTTTGGGAGTCCAAGGTTTACTACCAGTTTGTGGTTCTCCAAAAGCTTTGTGGCATGGTTTTTGCCATTTTTCAAATTTGCCCTATTGGCTTTTCTCATTTCAAGTTGGGCAGTCTCTTCCCCCTCTCCCTCTCTTTCCTACAGTCATGCTGCACTCAGTACAGCCTAATGCCCATTTGGTCCTTATTGAGCAAAACTGGTGTAACCAAAATGGACATTTGTTATGGGGGAGCTGGTGGTTCCTGGTTTTGAAATTAGAATTGATTTAGATATGCATGTTGTATTATATATATATATATATATATATATGATTTATAGGTATATATGAATCTGCTACAGATATACTAGATTTGATGTTCAAAAACAGTTTGGCATGATATGAAATAGTGCACAAGTGCAGTGTTGTACAATTTTTTTCATCTTCAATATGCTTCAGTTAGACTAGATGAATGCACTTTTCCTCCCTCCTTCTATGCCTTAAGTATGTCATAGACAACTTCTATTGCATTATTGGTATGACAACCCTTTCTACAATATAAGGTTGAAATGCTAGTGATGCTCCTAGCAGAACAATCTGTTATGCTTTGTACTTTGAAGCCAAAACCCTGCCCATGGGATATGAATTCATGTGGCATATTTTGATTTTTGATGCATTTCCTTCTGAATGTTAGAGAATGACATAATGCTAACAATGCATGATGCCTACAGAGTTTGAGCTTAGTGTCTGAAGGGTGTTAATCAGTGTGATGATGTTAATGCTGTTGCTACTTCTTACTATTTGCCACTGTTTCTGGCCTGTGGGTTAAAGCTCTGTATATGGCCGGCAACAGCCTTCATAAAAATGACCAGAAAATTGGCCAACTGGCATAATTATTAAGTAAATGGTAGAGGGACCTAAGAACCTAAAAGGTTTATTTATTGTCAACTATTTTTCAAAGATGGATCAAAATGGTTGCTAATAAATAACTAGGACTCAAATCATGATTTCAACCAAACTCATTCTGCCAATATCCATTTCATTCTAGTTGCTAGTTCAAACAAATCAACATGACCCTGCTCAAGCCAGCATAACCCGATGTGACCAAAACTAACCTAGCCTAACCTAACCCAACCTAACCAAACCTTACCTAGCCTAACCTAGCCTGATATCCTTATTCTTACCCATAGCCATTCACTTACTCCTACCTAAAACCCTACCATGAGACCCCCTGGTTCTTACCCACAACCAACATGGTACCATGTGGTGTGTGCATTTTTTTCTGTGCTACCTCTGCCCTTTTTGCTAATTCATACTTGTGTGTTTTTATCACCCTCAACCCATTCCCACTCAGTGTTTTGTTAGTACATAAAATGGTGTGCAGTAAAACAGTGTCATCAGCTCAATTGTTTGCCAGTCACATGTCAGTTCCTAGTTTGCCTGCTGCCTGATTTTGATGCATTGGTGTTGTTTTGTTAGCATATAATACACAATTAGCAGAATGATATCCATATTTTTCAGTTTTTAGTGTAGGTTGAGGCAATCCAGCTTTCTGTTATTACACACTGTTCTTATTTGTTGGTAGTCCTATCTTACATGCAGTTGCATTCTTAGAGGCTGTGGGAGATTGGCAAATACATTGAAAGCATGCACTTGCATTCTTTAGGGCCGTGGGAGATCAGCAAATACATTGAAAACTTGGCCCCATTTCTTGAATGCTTTACACAGCCCTTGAAAATATAAAATAGATGGTTGTCACCAGAGTACCACTGGCCTTTCATTGCAGTACCAGCCACAGCTGGGCCTGTCTTGCAACAAACCAAGCCCAGTATGTGCCCTGGAAGTGCTCTGGTACAATACTTTGAGTTGTTGCTTCATTTTGTTCCCACCAAATGTCTGCCTGTAGGTGTGGAGGAGGCAAAAGCTGCTGGCCAGGCCCTGAAGAAGGCGCAGTATCAGTTTGACATGGCGCACACTTCTGTACTGACCCGGGCCAACAAGACGCTGGATACGGTGCTGGAGATCCTCGGTGAGAAGAACATTCCCATCAAGAAGACGTGGCGGCTGAATGAGAGGCACTACGGCGGTCTGACTGGCCTGAACAAGGCTGAGACAGCCAAGAAACACGGCGAGGAGCAGGTGGGAGACACCGCAGACCTGGAGTGACGCCAACACGGAGACACTACGGACCTGGAGTGACGCCAACACCGAGACACCACAGACCTGTGGTGACTAGCACCGACGCACCACAGGCCCATGTAACGCCAACACTGAGATGCCACAGACCAGTGGAAACGCTGACAATGAGACACTGCAGACCCGTGTGACGCCAATACCGAGACGCCACAGACCCGTGGTGACGCCAACATCGAGACGCCACGGACCCTTAGTGACGCGAACAGCGAGGCAACACAGACCCGTGAGGACGCCAACCCTGAGGCATCACAGACCCATGGTGACGCGAACAACGAGGCACCACAGACCCATGGTGACGCCAACCCTGAGGCACTACAGACCTGTGTGACGCGAACAACGAGGCACCTCAGACCCGTGATGATGTCAACCCTGATGCACCACAGACCCATGGTGACCGGGCCTCGTTGACACGACAGTCCAAATGCCTTTCTGGTTGCAAACTGGTTTTTGCTACTTGTGTGGCAGTGCACGAATTTTAAGTTTGGATGTGGAAAAACTTTTTTGGTGTTAGTGAGGGTGGAGCACTAGAAATGGGTTCGTCTTTATTAGTTTTTAAATAAAGATGCTAGTAGTACATGAGATACAGGTAGTGCTGTGCCTATTTCAAGCATCCTTCGTAATTTGATGAACACTTGTTTTCAGTCCCTGTATTTCTGGGATCTGTTCTGCGCAGCTTGTAGGCACTGCCCTTGTGTTGTTTGCATCATTTCCCATGCTATGCTGTCCTGTCCCATCTTGGGCGTATCTCCACGTTACACGCCGTTGGCCCGCTATGGACGCGCCACTGGGTCCGATATCTCTCTTTTTGGGTTTAGTAAATGCTCCCATTTTCAGAACAGTTTGGTTGGGAACGACGTGCCGTGTTTTGCTGAATGTGCACCCCATCTTTCCACTGTTCGTCGACTGTGATGGTCTCCCACGACCTGTAAGCCAGATGGTGTTTCAGATTGTGGTGCTGTAATTCGTAACACTTGTGAGCCTTTCAACCGCGCAGGTCAAGATCTGGCGGCGCAGTTTTGACATCCCGCCGCCGCCCATCACGCCCGACAACCCGTACTACAAGGTCATTCTGGAGGACCCCCGCTACAAGGACGGACCGAGCAAGAAGGACTTCCCCATGTTTGAGTCGCTCAAGCTGTGAGGAACGTCGTCAGACGGCGCGACATCTCCGCCGATGTGCCTATCGTTGGGCTAGATGTTTACTATTATTTTGGGCGACACTTCGCTTTTCTCTGCTGTGGTGCATGTTTTTACATGGTGGATGCGTGATGTCATTTATTAACTGAAACGAATGTCCAACAACGCAGCTAGGTACAGTAGTCCGACGCGTTCTGCAGCGTGATTGGATCAAAACTGTATGACGGCATGCATCGTGCTCGCCTGCCCATGGCCGATGAGCTCGGTGGATGGTACCATGCCAAATGTGTTTGTTTGCTGATAATTCTACTTTATTTGATCAGATGGGATCGGCCAGCGCGCTGCGTTTTTTTTTTTTACGTCAGCGCTGGCGTAGTCCGGCTGCCTTGCTGACACCGTCAACCCGTGTCATCAGATGACGTCTCCTGTCTGGCCCGGCCTTGTAGGCTGGCGTGGTGGGGTGGATGCTCGACGCCAGCGGTTTGGCAGTCCCGTGCCACTTGCGCTGCGGGGCCGGCGCGTTAAGTGCCGGCACGCGTCCGCTGTGTGTCGCCATCGCTGACATAGTCTCATTACGGTGTGCCGGCGCTGTTTCAGAACCATCGAGCGTACCCTGCCGTACTGGAACGACACCATCGTACCGCAGGTAGGGCCGGCTGAAGGCTCCCCTGCGGGGCCAACCCGGGCACAATGCTCTTTGCACAACTTTTGTTATGGAGATTGTCTGTCGCGATACATTTTTGGATAGCGAACTCCTGTTGATCGTCGGTTGTATTGCATGGAAATGTGTGTTTTAGCGACAGGAACGTGAAGTTTTCCTGTCGCTCCGGGGTCTGTCGATGGCCCAGGTCGCGGATGGTCCGCGCTCATGCCAGTCCCGATGTCCTGGGGCTGGCTCCGTCGTCCCTGTCTAGAGTCCGTCTCTGTCCGGAGTCCGTCCCTACCCAGTCCGTCCCTGTCTGGAGAGTCCGTCCGCGTTCCAGAATCCGTCCCAGTGCCAGCGTATATCCCGGCATTGGCACAGGTCTGGCCGTCCGGTCAAGCCGTGAGCACGGGGTGGAACTCTCCCCGTTCTCCCCACCTGGTGGTGACCGCGTGGTTGCGTTGTGTGCCCGCCAGATCCGCCAGGGCAAGCGTATCCTGATCGCGGCGCACGGCAACAGCCTGCGCGGCATCGTCAAGCATCTGGAGCAGATGTCCGACGACGAGATCATGGGCCTCAACCTGCCCACAGGTGCGGCCCGGCTGGCCGTGGGGCGGAGCCCGCTGCGTCCGGCGGCGGCAACCGCGGCCCTCTCCCTGTCGGGGGCGGCCCCCAGGCTGAGTTACAGTTGTGCCGTACAAATGGGGTGTTGGGGATTGCTGTGCGGTGGTTTTAAGGCCGGGACCTATGTGCGCGGCTGGGACCAGGGTTATCAGATGTCATGTAGCTCCTGTATAACTCGGAGGCTGGTGCCCTGCTTCCATGCGGATGTGTTTCCCCTGCATATAGTGCGATTGAGCCCCTGCTCTTGCTCTGCGGTCCCTCCACGGAAGCCGGAGAACCCCGGGCCTGTGTGTGGCGACACCACGCCCCTGCTTGCGGACGAAGCGGCCTCCCGGAGCTCTGGCCGGTGTGTTCCGTCCAGGCTGACTGGTATCCCGGCGTTCGCCAGGCATCCCGTTCGTGTACGAGCTGGACGAGCACATGCGTCCCATCAGGAAGATGCAGTTCCTCGGTGACCCGGAGACTGTGAAGAAGGCTATGGAGTCGGTGGCCAACCAGGGCAAGGCCAAGTGAAGACATCAGCTCTAGTCCCCGCCCACACACTGTTGTATTGTTGTCGATGGTTGGGATAGATGGGAGCAGTGTGTGCGGTGCGAGCTTTGATTGTTCCTAGTTCAGGTGATTTTAAATTTGTTGTTGGAGTGTGCGCTCGGATTGCGCGGCCGCCATCGTGTTTTGCTGAGGTGTTCGGACGAGAGTAGCTTGCGTTCTCCGGAGTTTTTTTAGAAATAATTTTCTGACTTCCAAATCGAGATAACGGTGTTGCTTATGTATTACCTGCATATGTGGCCGCAACTATGCAACCCCCTCTGCGGAGTCCACATTCGTTACAGTTAGGGAAGCTGCCAAACTATGCCTCCCCTTCCTGCAATTTTCCGCTCTGGTCACCTCTTTGTGTACGTGCGAAGCTAATAAACGCTACGTAGTAGCAAACTTTTGGGACTTGACATCGGCGTGCTACGCGAACGTGTGTGATTTGGGCTGCTTTACTGCGCCTATCGGCGAATTTTTTCTGACCAGAATTAGAGCTGAAATTCGGAGCAGTGGACTAAAACGTTTGGACTAGACATAACAACAAACCACGACATTCTGATGTCATTCGTTTTACCTTATAAGAACTTACGGACTGGTTCAGATAGTCGCGAGCTGCAAGCATTCGTTTGAGGTTTGTCAAGCCAGCAATGCAGAACCAAGGCCAAGTGGTCGAATGTGGGGCGCCAGCTCCCTGGCTAAAATGATGATGCGCATGAATTACATAATTCCATAACAGCGTTGCATTTCTTGAGCCTGCAATACCCGGTGGTGACAACACGCCCGCCCGCGACGCCGCGTGCGCGGCCTCGATGGCAGGATTCAGCCCGCATGATTCAAGGAAATCACAGGACACCCTCGATTATTTGCTGCTCCGAAACTCGCTGAGCCGTAGAGGACGACGCAGTACAACTGAGCTTCGCATAATGCACTGGGATAGGAAGAAAGTGGCCGCGTCAGAAAATGAGGAAGTGGGGTGACTGGCGCTATTTAGACGTGACCCGAGCGCGTGTTAGTGATGCACAGACTGGCCGCCAAACGCTGGTAACGCGGGCGGACACCGCTGACGGCAGTGGAGTTTTCGCCTTGTTTCCGTGCCTGGCACGACACCTCCAGTGTTGCCGACAGCTGACTTCTGCAGGTAGCTGGGACGCAGCCGTACGCAGGACTCACGCGTCCGTGCCGCTGTCAGGCGTGTCCGCGTCCGTGCCGCTGTCAGGCGTGTCCGCGTCCGTGCCGCTGTCAGGCGTGTCAGATACGTGAATCGCGGCCCCATTTTCCCAAATTTTAATCAGAAAGCGACGTGCCCGCGTCTCGCGCGTCAAACGTAATAATTCCACACGGCTGTCCTGCTGTCCCCAGATCGGCTGCACGGCCGTTTTGACCAATCACAGGGCAGGATCACGACTGCGGTCGCGCTGATCGGCCACCGAAGCCACGCCCCGCCGCCACGCAACGACGCCTGTGCGGTACGGATTTTATTCTAGCAACCGAGGCACACAGTGCGGCCGGCCTCCGTCAGAGCACCAGAACGCCGCGCAACGAAACACGGCCGACACAGCGGCACAATTTACACCGGAACCGCGCCAGAGGCCGGCCAAGAAGCGCACGTGAAGGCCGCGCACGAAAGAAAGGCTCGCAAGCAACAGAAATCGGGCGCCAACCGTGCAAATCGGAACGTCCACACACAAGTCGCACGAGGGAGTGCCGAGGGTGCCGACAGGCGTAACAAGGCGAGAGCGGCGCAGATGCCAGCAGCAAGAGGACGAAGGCCGGTTGACATGGCTCCGGGTAACACGGATCTGGGTGACATAGATCCGGAATCGCAGTCAGTGCTGGTCACCCGGGCCAGGGGAGTCCCCAGGGTCAATCAGTCGTATACTTAAAACAGCAACTGTGCGATAGATGGCGTTGGTGACCCGCGGGGAGACGGGTCAACCACGTCAACCCTGACAGACCGGCAATAAGTCGATTCCATCAGATCATAGGCCTATCTACTATGTCCAAGGCGGCCGAGTACACGGCCTGCCATGTGAACACGTGTGGTCTACCATAGATTTCTGGTCCCTGGAATCTACGACGCCAATGCGCGTCTCCGAGTACCGCCGTCGCTGGCGGCGCCCGTGCAGGCTAACCGGCGGGCTGGCGCGCGCACTTTGGTAACAGCTGATATCACACGCATCACACGCACGCACACGGGCACGCACACACACGCACACGAGCACGCACACACAGCCACCCGCGCCTCCGCCCGCCGCCCTGTCGTTGTCCACGTATTGCACGGCTTAAACGCGTGTGGATCCCGCCCTTGGTACGCTAGCGCGCTACAGCGATCACAAGACCATGCGCTTCGACACGCCCCGGGCCCGGCTGTCGCCCGCCCACGACTTGGACTTGGCGCGGAAGTGTTTGAGATCGCTCTCGTGGCCCTCCTTGTTCATCGGCTTGTAGGCGCGCGGCTCGCAGAGGGCCGAGTGGCCCTCGAAGAACTTCTTGTAGCCGCCGTCAAGGAGGTACACCTCCGGGTACAGCAGCGCCGGGTACGTGGCTTTGTTGAGCTTGCGGTCCTGCTCGCGCAGAAAGCGGTACATGCTGGGGCCGCGCTCTGACGAGAACTCGCAGTGGAACACGATCAGGTGGCGGCGCGCGCGCGTGTCGGCCGCCAGCGGCGGCGGCTGCGCCGCGTGCCGGTTGGCCAGCAGGTGGCTGTGGATGGCGTCCTTCGTGAAGAGGTTGACGGCGCCGCGAATGTGCCCGCCCTCGTACTCGTACGGGTACCTGCCGGCGAGGAGGGAGTGAGCGACGCCGAACGGTCACGTCACCAGAGGCGCTGAGCAGCGCCGCGACCTCAGCTCCGCTCCGTGAACTGCGCTGCTCGCCACCTCCGTGGCAGGCAAATGTCGCATCCACATGCGCGCGGGACGGGCGCCGTAGTGCACGGATCAGGACATGGAATACGAATGATAGATTTCGAAACCCGAAACGCCACCTCGAAGTCGGACGATGATGGACAGGGCCTGAAGACAGCGCACTGGCTTAACACAATCGGCTTTACACAAAAATCCCCGAGAGCAGCACTCCAGCGAGCCACCGCGTACCATGACAGCCCTGAGTCAAGGCCTTCCGAATTTGGTGAACACATGGTTGCCCATATGGAATGGTTATCACTCATCAGACTGGGAGGCGGCTCGTGTAAAGGACAACCCACTCGTGACGTCCCAGCGGGGGCCCGTACCCCCAGAGCCCTCAGCACCCACCTGCAGTCGACGATCTGGAAGGAGGCGACCGTCTGGCTGAAGGCGCCGTCCATCAGGTCATTGAGCGTCGCCGCGCTGATGGCCTTCAGGTCACTGTTGCGGCTGGTGCGCGCCAGCGGCAGGGCGTACGGCCGGCTGCAGTCGCCGATCAGGTCCGGGTCCTGACACGCTGGCGGAGGAACGGAGCGGTCAGCCACACCGCCGCAACAGTGGTCAGTCGCACCGCCGCAACAGTGGTCAGTCGCACCGTCACAACAGTGGTCAGTCACACCGCCGCAACAGTGGTCAGTCGCACTGCCGCAACAGTGGTCAGTCGCACCACCGCGACAGGCAGGTCGGCTGCATACTACAGGCCGTCCGGTCTTCGAACCGATTGAAACGAGGGAACGCGAGGGAATGACTGGGTGTGTTTGCGAGGAGAGATTGCTTGAGAGCCCAAGCCACTGTTGGATACTTAAGAAGAAACTAGCCGCAGTGTAAACTATGGGACACTAGTTTCTGATGATTGTAACTGATAAAGAATGATGAAAATGAACACAGCCAGTAAGTTCACAAGTGGGCGGCGGTTCCACTTCAGCCCCGCCCCTGCCCACCGCCGGCTGGCAGCGGGCGGCAGTGGAGGCCCCAGCGGTGCCCCTAGCGGCTAGCGCCGCAGTACGCCACTCACAGCGCTGGACGGCGCGCTTGATGGTGGCCTCCGACTCGGAGTGGCAGCGCTGCAGCGGGCGCACGCGCTCGGCGCACGGCGTCAGCCGGTGACTCTCGGAGCGCTGCAGCTCGGCGCCGGCGGCGCGCGGCGACGGCGACTCGGCCAGCGAGCACAGCCGCTTGCGAGTCGGCGAGCACGGCTCCAGCGACGGCGGCTCGGGCCGCTTGAACTGGCCCAGCCGGCCCGGCACCGGCACCGGCATCCGGTCCGCCAGCGTCTGGCGGGAGCGAAGCTCGGCGTCACCCCACTGGAGCAGGCACGGCGCCGACGACCGTGGGGGGATGATCGGGCCAGCGGCACAGGACATCGGCAGCGTCGCCGGCGGCGCTGACGGCGCGGCCAGCGGCACAGGACATCGGCAGCGTCGCCAGCGGCGCTGACGGCGCGGCCAGCGGCACAGGACATCGGCAGCGTCGCCGGCGGCGCTGACGGCGCAAACCGGCGACAGGCCCGCACAAACGAAAACAAAACTGAACCCGTCGATGCCAGCGCCCAGCGTCAGCATCATCCCCGCCGGCTGTCCCATCCCGTCGCCAGCATCCCGTTCCGCGCGGCGCCCACACTCACGGCGCGCGCGTCGGTGGCGTCCGCGGAGGGTCGCTCCACCATGGAGAGGAAGCGTCGGATGGCGGGCCGGCGCGGCGGCGGCGGCTCCTCGCCCGCCGGACTCAGGATCGGCGCCGAGAGAAGCGCCTGCAGGCCCGCCGGCATGGCGCTCTCGTCCATCGTGTCCAGGTCGATGGCGTCCATGAAGCCGTCCGAGTCGGAGCGGCGCAGCGGCGCCGGAGAGCCGGACGAGCCGGACGACACGCTCGACCGCACGCGACGCGGCGGGGGCGCCGTGGGCGCGGCGAACCTGCGGCGGCGGCCGACGGTCAGCGCGCGCCAGACGGCGGTGCCCGGCGCCAGTCGCCCCACCGGGCAGGCGCGCCTAACGCAGGCCCCACACCATGTAACATACTACCCGATAGACTACGTGATATATATATTTTTTAAATATGCAGACTAGGACAACCTACCACGAATGAAAAACTTAATTCTGAAGGTGAGGAATCTTAAATTGTATTGGCCTTGCCTTCCCTTTCTGCCAGCAAGTGTTTGACTGATACACGGACGTAATCACGTGACACCAAACGAAGAGAGCCTGGCTTAGCCCGAGGGTGCGTGCTCACGCGCAGCTGGCGACTGACCTGAACTCATCCCTCTCTGTGGCGTCGTACCCGCTGTCCTGCGAGCTGGGATCCTGCACCTCAGGCGGCTCCGTCGCCGGCGTCGGCCTCTGGACCTGGCCCAGAGGCAGCCGCCGCTGACACAAGCTGCTGGGAGCACGCGACGCCGACCTGGTGGCACGGCGCGCCGTCAGACAGAGCCGGGGCAGACACGGCCGGGGCAGGCACGACTGGCGAGCCGACCACAGCGCCCTCTGACGGATACCCGCAAACGGCACTCCTGGTGACGCTGCCAGAACGTGGGAGACGGAACCGTCGCCGGCCAACCGCACACATTAAACGGCGTCGTGTAGCACGTAACTTACGCAGTTTGACGACAGCAACTGAGCTCACGTTAAATCTTAAATCACGCTTACTGTAATCAAACACAATCTCGTAACGGGATTAGTATTAGAACCGAAACATATCAACAATTGAAGGCATCAGACATGACGTAATTTGCCTGCATATCATACGAAACACGGCTGGCAATGCAGCGATGAGTGTGCGTACCAGGAGTCGGTCGGCTCGGCTCGGCTCGGCTCGGCTCGGCTCGGCTCGGCTCGGCTCGGCTCGATACTCACCTGTCGCTAAGGCCGGACCGCTTGGGACTGCTGAAGTCGAACGACGCGTCCTGCTTGGCCGGCGACAGGAAGGGCGCGTTCTCCTTGTCGAGGGCGGGCGAGCCGAGGGCGGGCGAGCAGGCAGCCGCCTGCAGCCGCTGGCGCACCGGCAGCGACTTGAAGCGGCGGAGCGGGGCCGCCGCCCTGCCCTCGGGCGTGCCCTCGTCCAGGCTGACATCCCGCAGCAGCCTGCCGGCGGACACGACACCCGTCAGGCACGCCACACGCTGGGCACCGACACCGTCTGTCAAAGGCTCCGCCGATGGGTCAGGGGGAACGGGGCATGGGGCGGCACGCGCACCGGGCGGCCCGCGCGCCCGATCGCTGAGGACAGCCTCCGATGGCTCAGCTGTCTGGTATGGGCGCGGACGGTCCAGAGCCAGCTGAACACAGGCGGCGGCAACACGGGTCAGCCCGCATGGACTACGGAGCAGCCCCAAAGAAGCCAGCGCTCTCACTCACTAGCGACACTTTTCTGACATATTACGCGCCATCCCCTGGGCGCCCTACACCAGCAGCCGCAGTTCCCGTGGCAGAGGCGACACCTGCCACACCGACCGTCCTGCTTATTCCGCAGCAGCAGCGACCTGCGACGCCACCGGAAGCATGCACTCTCCCACGGAGATGTACGCGCCGCATCAGGCGTCCGCTCACACAGGCCACGTAATTAGATAGCCGGTAATTGGCCGCAGCCGGTTCGGTATGCATAGTCTGCATAGACGCGAGAGCGCCGTGCGCGGGGATGCGGCGCTAATTGAAGCCTCCCGAGCCGGCCGCTTCCGCACCTGACGGCGGCCGCTCGCGGCGCCGGGCGACGCGTTCAAACCGACCAGCGCGCTCAAACGGTCACGGCGTGGGACCTCCGCGGTCCCACGGCGCGCAGCCACGGCTGCCGCCGCCGCCGCCGCCGCCGCCCGGAGAGCGCCGCGTCAGCCCGAGCCGCCGCCGCCGCGAGCTCCGAGGCCAACAACCCCGGCTGTCGGCGGCAGCGCGCGCGCTCGAGCCGCCCAGCGCCGAGCGCCGTCGCCCGGTTCTCACGGCAGACTTTTTACCTGGCGGCGCCGGCGCGTTTCCGTTGGGCCGCCGCCGCCGCGCGGCACCGGGTTTTTATCGCCCGAATGTATCCACACGGGCGGTAAATAATTAAAAGACAAGGACAGCAGTGGATGCCGCGCCTGACTTCGGGGACGGTCGCCGGGCCGTCCGGCGCGCGAGGGCAAGGCTCGCGGCCAAGGGCAGGAGGCCGCCGTCGGCGCACCCCAGCTGCGAGCTGCTCCTCGAACGGGCGAGGTCGCGGCCAAGGGCAGGAGGCCGCCGGCGGCGCACCCCGGCTGCGGGCTGCTCCTCGAGCAGGCGAGGTCGCGGCCGGCAGCCCCGCTCACGGCCAGCCGCCAGCTGCTCAGTGCGTCCCGGAATGCGGCCAGCTCACTTACCTGGCGGCTCGGCCGCCGCGCCGCCGCCCGCCCGAGCAACTTAATCAATGGGTTTTGCGGGTACAATAGGCATTCCGGCTCCGCGGCGCTGCCGAGACGGGGCGCCGCGCAAAAATGGGCCGAACAAAATCATGCGCGGCTTTTTGTGCGACCTTTCTCGGGCGAGAGCAGACGGCGCGAGTTGAGCCGCGCGCAGCCGCAGCTGGCGAGCCGGCACTGCAAAAACGCGCACATGACCGGCCGGCCGACCGACGAAATCGAAGCCAATGGAGCGCGCGCGCGGCCAGGGGCGCCTTTCGGTTTCGGTCGCGGTCGGCTGACGGGCGCGCTTCCGCCGCGGCGCGCACCGCGCCAATTAGGCATCATTTATCGCGCGGCGGCCGCTGCGGGCGGCGCCAATCGTCGCCTGTTGTCCGCTGACCGGCCGGCCGGCTCCGTCGAGCAGCGGCCTCGGGAGACCGTGACGGGGCACCCGGCAGTCGCTGACCTCAGCGGCGCCGGCGGCGGCACCACGTTCCGTGTCGCCACTTCCTCCGGCCACAGGTGGCAGGGCGTCCGGCGACGGCAGCGGCGCTTCCGGCGCGCGCCCGCCTGGAACGACGCGGCACTTGCGGCGCGCGGGCCGGCGCGCCGGCGCGGCGGTGGGAGCGGCCAGGTGACTGGCCTCTATTCCGGGCCAGCCGGCCGCCGGCCGCCCGCGGTTCCCGCCGAAATTCTTCACATTCAGCGCGACAATGCGCCAGAGATCGGGCCGCCAGCTGGCTTCAACGGCGGCCCGCATCGGACGAGCGACACAGGACAGGAACAGAGACACGGCGCTCCGATCCACCGCACTGAGGACGCCGGAAAGACCGAGAACTCGCGGAATCCGTGGTGGCGCGCTCGGACCTCTCCCGCTCTGTGTGGACTCCATTGCCGCTGGGTGGAGGTAGCTCCAGGACCGCGGACCGGGCCCTGGAGGCTGATCAGCATCGGGACACCCGTCCAGGCCGAGTCAAGGGAGCCCGCCGGCAGCCTTCGACCTTGGCGCGCCTCGAGCCAGTGGGTGGCCGGTGGGCCATCTCCAACTCAGGCACATCCGGCGCGCCGCTGGCCCGGCCGACCGGCGCTACTAAACGTGTCACTCGGCCGGACAGCCGGGACGGGCCGAGCCGAGCCGGGTCGGGCCGGTGGCGGCGGCGGCGGTGTGGGACGAAGGCCGGCCACCCCATAACTCTCCGGCGGTCGGAGTGCCTCTGCCGCACCCCGGCACACGGGCCCAGCGACCTCGGGCGCGAAGTGACACGGCCCGGCCCGGCCCTGAGTCCCGCAGACCGGTGGCCGGCCGCGCGGCACGGCCTCGAGCGAGCATCGCGCTGGCAACAACTAGAGACGTGACATGAATGTGAGAATCTTTGGAGTATTCATCGACGCGTGTGGCTGCTAGGCATTATCATAAATCAGCGAAAAGGATTGGGTGGAGCTACGTGCGGCCTGAATGCTGCCTCCACGTGCCGCCGACTCCGGTCATCCGCCAAAACTTCTCACACATTTGTGATCGCACGAGACCACATCGCGCTGTGCTCGCAGCAGGAAGCAATGCGAAGATGAAAAACCGCGCAGCCTGTCGTCACCCCTAGCGGCCAGGCCGGCCATCAGCCTGACCACACCTCTCGCCCCAGAAGTCGCCCACACGACATTTCACACGTGACACGCACGCGGGTCTACCGGGATGTTACCGAGGGCCTCGCGGGCACCGGGGTCGGGTCGGTCGGGGTCGGCCAGGGTCAAACCGTCGGGCGGTCGGGCCGCGCGCCAGGAGGGCGCAGGCTCCCCGGCCGGCAGCAGGGGAGTGGGGAGTGCGAAACACGAGCCACCCCAGCTTCCCGCAGCGCGCCGCGCGGCGACACGCAACTAAATATAGCGGCGGCGAGCGTTTTTGTCGCGGCGCGGGCGCCAGCCGCGGGGAGCGTGTTTACAGAGCGCGGCGGCGCAGACGGGCCCGGCCCGCCGCCCGCGATGGATGGGAGAAAGTCCGGGCGGCTGGTCCCGTGCCGCAAAGCCCGGCCTCCGACCCGGGCCTGCTCCCCTCCTCATGCCGGGGAAAGTCGGGCAGCGGCGGCGGGCCCATTGATGGCCGGTTGTCTGCGCAGCGCCGGAGCCTCAAGGGCCCTGCGGTAACGGGAGCGGCGTTTGCCGCCGAAGGTAAGCAGTGATTTGTAGGTGAAACAGGAAGTGCTTTCCCATGTCCTTGTCCCCAAAAACATGGTCGCCACAAAACCAAATTTCCATAAAATCACCGAAGCACCAGACAATTACTACTGTCACGTTTAATTACGACCCACTCCACTACTGGCGCATGTAGCCGCCGTACTTCACAAAATGTGACACCGAGGTATCTACACAACAACCTGGCGGACGTTAACACGGCCCAACTGCACGGACCAGCCTGCTTAGACACCGAAGGCTTGCGCACCTCAAAACTTCCTACCATTTTCAACCTTCGGACTATCGCGCCGAAACAGCTGTTGCGCCCCCCCCCCCCCCCCCGTCCGGCCCCGTTCTGCGTAAATCAGATGCTGTTCGCCTGACCCCCAGTGTCGGCCGACAGATGCCCGGTGCGTGGGGCAGCGGGCAGCTGCCGGGGTCCCTGCCCTTGCCGCCGGCACCCGGCCGGCCGCCTGGCGGGAACGAGGGCGAAAGTGCGCGCGCGATTAGCGGTGCGCGCGTACTCTGGCGCGCGCCTCCCGCGCCATGCGTGCGAGCGACTGTAGCCGTCTCGAACCGCGCCACCGGCGGCGGGACAGGCGCGCGTACTCCGGCGCGCGCCTCCCGCGCCATGCGTGCGAGCGACTGTAGCCGTCTCGAACCGCGCCACCGGCGGCGGGACAGGCGCGCGTACTCCGGCGCGCGCCTCCCGCGCCATGCGTGCGAGCGACTGCAGCCGTCTCGAAGCGCGCTAGCGGCGGCGGAACGGGCGCGCGCGGATGGCGCCGCCACATGAGGGCGGGGTGCGGCGGCCCGGCCGGGCACGCCCAGCCCCGGGCAACGTCAGGGTGGAGTCCACCCAACCGCCGCCAGGGCCTCCTCTGATCTCCGAGGCTGGACAAATTACTTGGCAGAACGGCCGCGAGGGGCCCGCATCTTGGAGATTGGACAGATTGTCGGGTGAGATGTTACCCGGAGATTTAGGTACAATGGACAGCTGTCGATAGAGACACGTCTAGCAACAGCTTTACCCCGCACCGAAGGGCCCAAAACTAGATCAGAGATTTGTATGCAAGAACACTTGAAAGCGTGTTAGTTCCGGAAAAGGTTAAGAGATGAACAACGCACAGTCATTTAGTTCAAGACAACAAATGGTGCCAAATACATGGGCCTTACCCTGCAATGACCTGCTATTTCCGGTAACAGCAAGGAGCTTACCACATTCACATAAAATAAAAATATGATCATAATCCAGCAAGAAGCCTATCATACGGGCCGTAAGATGGAACATGTCATTACCGTCATCTTCAACGGTACTTCCGACGACTGTCAGAAAATAAATTGATTGGGAAAAACATACATACATACAGCGCTATATTTTCGGGGTGAGGTGCATATATCAAGTGTTCAAATACAACTCCATAGATGTAGTTCGATTTCGCCGGTACGCATACTCCACGCACTAAAAAAGCGTCGCAAGTGGCAACTGCACACATCCCTGCCACTCCCACATGCAGGCCGAAATTTCAGAGTATCAACCACAATGCTTACGGGAAATATCCTAGATAA